TTCTTCTTGATTTTTTCTTGGCATTTCCATCTCTCTAACTTACATTATCTACCTGTTATTCCATGTTTTCTATTTCTTCCTTTAGAGCCATTGGCGTATTAATGATAATTGTTTTAAATTCCCAATATCCCTGCCATATCTGAGTCTGATGCTTGTTTTGTCTCTTTAAAAACTGTTCTTTTGCTAAATGCTTTGTAATATTTTTTGTTTTTACTGAAAGCCAGATATAATGCACTGAGTAAAATAGACTGCAGCAAATAGGTATTTAGTAATGAGGGGAGAAGTTTCTATAATCCTATAAGTAGGTCATAGTCTTTTAGTGAGCCTGTGCTCCCAGGCTGTGAACTTAATAAGTTCTGTACAGTCTCCCATTCACTCCTACCCCCACAATTAAGAGGAACAAGACGGCTAGAACTGGCTAGAGTTTAGTACTTCCCTTTCTCTAGGTCAGTTAGGCTCTGAAAACACCCTAATAGGTTAAGGCTGGTAAAATACTTTCTCCTGATGGTAGACCTTATTAAGAAAAAGAGAATGCCTTGGCATATTTCCAAATGGTTACTTTCGCTTCCCTCTACAGAAAGCACTAGAGTGTTTTTCTGATACTCAACTGTGAAGACCTGGAGGTAGAACCATGAAAGTGTGGCAGTCCCCTATTACTGGGTACCCCTGGAGTTTTTAACCATTACAGTTTAGGTTTTCCTACCCAGTACTGGTTCCCTTAGAGGAGTGGTCGGCAAACTGTGGCTCGCGAGCCACATGTGACTCTTTGGCCCCTTGAGTGTGGCTCTTCCACAAAATACCGACTTCTGCACATGGGCCACGAAGTTTCAATCGCACTGTACGTGCGCCCCTGCACATGGTATTTTGTGGAAGAGTCACACTCAAGGGGCAAAGAGCCGCATGTGGCTCGCGAGCTGCAGTTTGCCGACCACGGCCTTAGAGGTTTCCACTCCTGGGTTTCTGCTGGGATAAGTTGCCATTCTCTGTATTCACCTATCTCTCCAATTTGAGAGGTAGCAGTTTGCCTTTTGACCTCACTTCTGAGCAGACAAAAAGGGCCACATGCTAACCCAAGAATGTCAAACTCATGGCCCGCAGACCACATGCAGCCCACAATGAATATTTTTGCGGGCCAGCCAATATAATGGTATGTAAGAAATATTTTAATAAAAATTTTGTAACTTAATTATTACGATATCCTGTTATACATAATTATTAATAACGAACTACAACATTCACTAATGACTGATTACTATAATCGTGTTGTATTCATTTCCCTTACGCACCTTACACATAGGCGCACCATTTCTCTCCACTAACACTAGCAGCAAGTATTTTGGCAGCTGATTGCCACGTCATTAGTCTTGGACTGACTTGTTTGGTGTGCACAACAGGAAATATTTCGCTTTCGGAGAACAAGAAAAATATGTTTATTTGCATTACACTTAATAATCTGTGCAGTTATTCAGTATCTGGTAAGTTAATGTTCAAGAAAAATATTAATTTTTATTAAAATGTTATATTATTTTATGTTAACAATTACTCATTTATTTCAGCCCATTGTATTCAGCATGTCTCTATAGAAATAAACTTACGTTTCTATGAAAATTGAAGCTTTTGTTTTTAACTGGCCCACATAAACTTAAACCTTCTTTATTTGGCCCATGTTAGTTAGCGTTTGTGCTTGGCATGCTTATGCTAACCTGACTAACTCAGGGAAGGCCTACTTGGCAGCCTTGCAAACTCAAGAGACCTAAAGTAACCACAAAGGATGATCTGACATTAAAACCTTTTAATTAAAAAGCAGTTTATAGTGTGTAGTTATGTCCTAGGCCAGTATCTTCCCTGACAAAGATCAACTTCGAACTTCAATGAGCCTATTGTCTTTTTGCATCTATGATAACATACCTGTGGAATGTCAGGGTAACTTGTAACTTCCCTTTTTCTGGACCCCTCAGGACACAAACTCCCTCATTGTTATTGTTATCGTTTTAATTGTTGACTGTTAACTATCCTATGCCCACCTATGTAAAAGAAGCATGTGTCTATCATTTCACTTTTTATCCAATCCCAGAGGTTCCCCTCCCCACTCCCAACTTTGCTTTCTCCCACCTTCCTAATCTGTCACCAATGGATTTCATGTAACCCACTTATATCTCCACCCTTGATAGTAATTTATAAAAACAGATGAAAAACCACCATTCTCCAGAGCATTATCCCAATATGTTGAGATTCTGCTTCCTGGAAATTGTCTACAGTTTGGCTCAAATAACTCACAAAAATTCTTTACAGGTTTGAATGTTTTCTTACGCTAACATCTGACACACCTACGAAGATTTGTTGAGTTTTCAGTTTGTTCAGTTTCCTATCTGTTGTTAGAACAAAGTGATAACTTCTAAAAGCTCTTTACATGCTGAACTGAAAACCACACACACACAAAAATTCTCCATTTTCAATCTTTACCTTCACATTTACTGACAAAGTGATAACACTCTTATGAGATTAAGGAGAGGGGAAAAATGCAAATCTCAATTTGTCTCAATGGCATACAAATTGCCTAAAATATGATTAATCATAGTGTTTACCTTTTTATAAAGCTAAAATGCAAATTATTAATCAATACACTTCATTCTTTCTTTCTGAATCAATTAAAACATATGGACAATCAAATTTTGTAGAAATCATTATTATAAATTAAAATATTTCCTAAATAAACACCTAAATATTAAGTTTCCATTAAGGACTTTAAAAAAATTTATCAGTATGTACTGCAATTCACTGATTACCCTTACTGCTCAATTAATATGCAGAAAAATAGTCTGTTTCTTTTCTTTTTTTTTAATATATTTTATTGGTTTTTCAGAGAGAGGAAGGGAAAGCGACAGAGAGTTAGAAACATCGATCAGCTGCCTCCTGCACACCTCCTACTGGGGATGTGCCCACAACCAAGGTACATGCCCTTCACCAGAATTGAACTTGGGACCTTTTGGTCCACAGGCTGACGCTCTATCCACTGAGCCAAACCAGTTAGGGCAAAGCCTGTTTCTTAAGTCCTAAAATCCTATATAATAAAAGGCTAATAGGCAAATCAACTGAAAGGTGGAACGACCAGTCACTCACTATGACGCACACTGACCACCAGGGGGCAGACGCTCAACGCAGGAGCTGCCCCCTGGTGATAAGTGCGCTCCCACAGGGGGAGCACCGCTAAGCCAGAATCTGGGCTCACGGCAGGCGAGCGCAGCAGCAGTGGTGGGAGCCTCTCCTGCCTCTGCAGCAGCCGGACATCCCCCTGAGGGCTCCCGGACTGCAAGAGGGTGTAGGCCAGGCTGAAGGGATCAACCCCCGCCCCCAAGTGCAAGAATTTCATGCACCAGGCCTCTAGTAGCATTATAATCCCTTTTAAACAATTTAAATTTTGAGATTCTTCCTCTGGAGGAAAATCAGTAGAAAGAGAAAATCTGTATGTTAAATTTGACATTTGGGTTCCAAATTCCCAACATTTGCTATCATTATGGAATAAACCTATGTCAAATTTAATATCCTTAGGAAATCTTCATCCACTGTAGAGCGCTATCTGTTCTTATAGCAAAAATACAGCTAAAATTTTTTGCAATATCACACTGTAAAACAGATGATTACTTTTAAAAAATGTTATTTTAATCCTATCAGAGAATATGTTTAACCCTATCAGAGAATACTGATTTTAGAGAGAGAGGAAGAGAGAGAGAGAGAGAGAGAGAAACATCGATCAGTGCCTCCCAAACACACCACAAACAGGATCAAACCCACAACCTAGATATATGACCAGAAATTGAACCCCCAATCTTTCTGGTGCATGGGATGGCACTCCAACCAATTGAGCCACCAGCCAGGGCCAACTCATTGCTTTTTATATTACTGACTTAAATTTTATTCAACTGAGTTTTAACTTACTTAACCAAAAGCATGCTGGTTAAATAAGATGAACACATCTAATTCACCTTAAGGAATTTAAAGTATGTTGCAAAATATGCCTTCAAACATTACAAAAATGTGAAAATGGCCAAACCCAAAGGAACTAATATTAGCATTAATTTACTTTACACATTTGCAAATTTTATTTTATTATTTCCACATCTATAATGCATTAGGTACAATAGACATTTCTGAGCCCTTTATACAGTGAACAGATGGTAAACCATTACAAAATTAGGAGCTAGGGTAACATCCTAAGGAATTATTAATAATAATTAATAATTCTTGCTCTTCAGCCAGAGGATAGCTACAGACTTGGACAATTTTCCCTACAAAGATAATGAGGAATTAGAGTGAGATACCTGGGAGATGATTTGGGAATGGTCACAAAAAGAAGTGGGAAAAGTGTCCAGTGTCCATAGTAACAAGTGAAAGATTATATTAAAGCTCTTATAAAAAAAGATTAATCTGCCCAAAAAACAGTTGTCAAATAAGGAAGATGGATGCTGTGAAAGACAGAAAAGAATGCTATAAAAGAAAAGTTCCACTCTTAATCTGCTAAATATAAAATATATTCCTAAAACCCCAAAACAAAATCAATAAGTAAAACTAGGACTTAGTACTTGGCATAGTTTCTAGCTAAAGTAATAACCAACAAAATGAATCCAATTATGTCAGTTCACAAGAGATAAAGAAAAAGCATCAAAACCAAAAACCAAAAAAGACTTAATCATGTCAGTGGTTACATGTGCAAAAACAAACTATTCAGGTGAAAATGGCTATATAAAAGAGACAAGGGAGCCTAGCAAATAGATCACAGAATGTAGTCCTGCTCCAAAAAAAGTCATAATGTTTAGAAAGTCAGTGTACCATTTCCAGAGCTGAAATAATGCAGTCTCAGTGGAATCTTTTGAGAAAGTGATAGAGCATTAATAAACAATACTGTGGTTTCTAAAGAGAAAAGGGATTCCTAACTTTTAAAAAGAGAACATTTTGATTTATTAACAAAGTTATTTCAATATTAACTGTGAAAAATGGCTTACCTTTCTTCTCCTAGAACATAAGATGCTGACAAAACCACATGATATTTCCAAAGAAAGATATTATTGCTTGAATCTGGGTCACTGAAATAATCAACTGTTCAAAATGAGACAAAAGAAAAGGGTAATATTAATTATTTATACTTATATATTTTCTTTGTTGTTAACATGAAACATCTATTAATAAGAGCCTAAGCAACCGTTACAGCAGAACGACTGGAACGACCGGTCGCTCTGATGCACACTGACACCAGGGGCAGACGCTCAGCACAGTGCACTCCCACAGGGGGAGCGGCCGCTCAGCCAGAAGCTGGGCTCACGGCTGGCGAGTGCAGCGGCGGTGGTGGGAGCCTCTCCTGCCTCCACAGCAGCACTAAGGAGCAGCGAGCCGAGCGGTAAGGAGCTGGCTGCTAAGGAGCAACTAGCCAAGCGGTAAGGAGCGAGCAGGTGGGAGATAAGGAGCGAGGGATCCCAGATTGCAAGAGGGATGTCCCCTGAGGGGTCCCGGACTGCGAGAGGGCGCAGGCCGGGCTGAAGGACATCCCCCCCCCTCCTCTAGTACTATGGATCTCATATAAAACCTGATAAGGCCATTCCCTGGAGAGTTCAAACCTGGGGACAAAACTGTCCCCAGGTTTGAACTCTCCAGGAATAACTCCTTTGAAACAAAGACAGGACAAATAATTAACTCTATTTAAACAATTCTTGATCACTCAATATCAACAGGTTATTTCAACAAGTTATTTTTAATTTTAAAAGTTTTCTTTAATATTTACCATTATTACCCCACTTACATTGTTTTCCCTAAATAGGAATATGAACCAGGTAATACAAAAAGACCCCACTGTACATTTTTTTTTAAAAAAAGGGTGGGGACAGGATACAGGACAGGAATATCCCAAACAGCTTCAAGGACAAAAAGCATGTTCCACACCAGATCATATTTACAGTTCCTCATCTAGAATTCAACTAACATATAACTGCAGCAATCAGCCAAGCTTAGCAAATTAAAATAACAGTAATTTTGACAGATTACCTTCTATAAATATTCAAATATGGACATTTATGTGCATGCAAGGGTCTCTGTATGCCAATCAAAATGCTTTGTTTAGGAACCTAAAATTGAGCTTTCTTTTTCACCCTTCTTTTCTTAGGAGTCCCCTGAATCCTTAACTTTCATTTTAACTCTTTCACCTCAGCTGACAAAGAGACCAATCATTGCTCTATTTATAGACTGAATTATTATCCATTGCCTGAATTAAAATTTTAAGAATAACAGTCATATAAAGCACCAATAGACAAAAAGAAAAGTGCCTAGAACCTTTGAAAATCTATCTGTAAACACAAAAGGAAAGACCCAGTAGCAGTGGAGAGAGGGGGCAGAGACAGGATCTTAGGGATGGCAACTGAAAAAGAGATTGACTTTTTATTCATGGAATCAGATATGCCTTGGTATAGTAAAATCCAAATGCAAAGAAAAATTAACAACTTCATAAATTTGAGCTACAGTCAAAGTCCCACTAAGATAGACTACAATATATTTGTCTCAAGACAAGACACTACATTTTGAAAACAAGTTTAAGTATATGAAAGTGTCAAAGAAGGGAAATAACAATTACAGTTTAAACTTCATGGGTTTAAATTTCATGGGTCTATATACATGCAGAATTTATTTAATAAATACTATAAATGTATATTCTCTTCCTTACGATTTTAATAACATTTTCTTTTCTCAAGATTACTTTATTGTAAGAATAAAATATATAATACATATAACATATAAAATATGTGTTAATTAACTGGTTATGCTGTCAATAAGGCTTCCAGTCAATAGTAGCTAAAGTTTTGGGGAGTAAAAAGTTATAAGCAGATTTCTGACTACATGGGGGTTAGGTACTCCAAACACCTACATTGTTCAAGGGTCAACTATAGAATGAAATTCAAACCAAATGCAATTTCTGAAATCCACAGATAGCCCTTTTAATCAAGGCAAGATATCTGATGCATGGATTTGCTCATTGTCCTTCTATCCTATCTCCTATTAGTCAGTTTCCCTAAAACATATACACAATTACTGCCACTCTGTATCTAGGACAGCATCATAATTACATAAGAAAAGTCAGCTTATTCAGAGGCATATGCTGGACTGTTCCCACCTGGAAAGAAACAATTATTAATACCTCTACTGAGATTGCTCAAAATATTTCTAGAAAGTTAGGCGGACTTGCAAGAAACTCACTTTATGATCACTCACCAATCAACCACCCAAACCCAGGTCCAACAGTGATTCCAAGCCAGACCAGTGGTTCTCAAAGCAGGAAAGGGAGAAGGAAAGTCTGGTCTAGAGACCAATAGCTTCAGACTTCCTGAGAGCTTGTTAAAAATGCAGAATCTCTGGCCTTATCCTAAGACATATTTAATCAGAATCTGCATTTTAACAAGATCCCCAAATAACTCATATACATATTAAAATTTGAGAAGCTCTTCAGGAAAAAAAATATTAGAATGAGAAAGAAGGTATAATATTCTGTTCAAAAAATGGTTCTCACTGCAGGCCCATGTTTGGCCAATAAGCAACCAATCTTTAACCTCTGAATTATAGCATCATTATTCCTGCCATAATTTTTTCTTTGTTTTTTTAAAATAAGGTATCTTGAAAAACAGAAACTCCTCGAGACCCAAAGAAATGAGTATCTAATGACTAAATGTCGGGTCCTAAGAAATGCTGACAGTTACCTTAGAACAAGTGGTTCTGTCTCATGCTCCCAGATCACATTAACTAAACAAGTTAATTTTAAAATAATAATAATTCCTCTCATTCCAAATGCTAGACACTAAGAGCATGTGGGATCCCAGTGGCTGAGAAAGAGACCAAAAAATAAATAAATAAATAAAGCCTATGCCATCTTGTAAGCAGAGAGGAGAAGGCCGTATGTGCTGGTTATTCGACTACTGTCTCTCAGCTCCAAATTCACCATAATACTCAGCTCAGTAATGCTAAAAATAGAAGTCTAGAAACCATTTTTCTTTTTTGCCAACTAGCTTTCTCATGCTACCAATAAGGGCACTAGAAGGAGAAACTTGCTTTTCCCAGTCAGTATAGCTATAGGATAGGCCCTCAATCCCAGCGACAGCCACCAGTGTTTTCTGACACTCACAGAAGTAACAGCAACATCCAGGCAGTAACCTCCTCCAGAGGCTTTGAGCTCCAAATCTACTCCAAGCTCTTCTTTGATCCCCCAGCCCTACAGGTGGTTGCTGCTTTCTATAATTGTTGTCTGTGTTACTCCAGTGTTCCTCTTTTGCTTTTTCAACCCTCTAATACCTATAAAACCCATTGTCTATCCTAAATTTTGTTAGTATATCTAGTGTGGATTGTTTCCTTATCCAGAGTCTTACTGATACATCATGGCTAGATGGAATAAAATTCAGCATGAACTTGATCACTCTGGAACACTATTTTTCCAAAACATGACAGTCCATGAAAAAAATATTTACTGCCGCTCCCCCAAAATAGATGCAAGATGGGAAATAGATGCAAGAAGTACAGTTGGGAAAGAAGGAATAGGGAACACAACCTAAGAAGTAATATATTCAAACAAATACCATGGTAAAAAACATATTTTAGCCCCCAAAACAAAGAAAGGGCCAATAAAAAGTCTGAAACAAATTTTCCCCCTAAGCAATACAAATCAGAGTTTGAAAGGTAGAAGGAACTTTATTCTTCTGCCTCTGTCATTGTTCAATTTTGTTAAAGCAGTTTTACACTGAGTTTGAATTACTTTCAGGACAGTACTGAGAAATTAGGGAAAATCCAAAGATCTCAAATATGATGACAGCAATAGGAAATAGGATCTATGAAGAAAGGTTCAAGGACTCATACTTTTTAGTCCAGTCTAGTGAAAAGAAAACTTCAAGGCAACAAAATAACGGCCAACCAGTTTAAAAGATCTGACCAGCTAGGCTTCATCATTCCTACAAGTGTTTAAAATGATTGAAGGTAAAGTAAATAAAGATATAAAATGGAGCTTCTTAGCTTACTGACTCTCCTTCAAAGCAGAGCTCTTCATGCTGTTTACACATAAGAATGACCTAGAATATTTTTTACAAAAATAACGATGATGATGATGGTGATGCCCAGAATATTAATGCCAGAGATCTGATTTAACTGGTCTCAGATAGAGTGTAGGCATAACTTAAAAACAGAAACAAAAAATACCTAAATGTTTATAATGTACTGACAGAAGGGCTAATAACCACTTAATGGGACATTCATAACTTTACTACTCAAGGTATGGTAAGGACTAGCTACATCCAGATTTCCTAAAAAGCTTGTTAGAAGGCAGCATCTCAGGCCTATTCCAAAAACGCTGACTAAGAATCTACACATTAATAAAATCCCCAAGTAATCTGCATGCACATTAAAATTTAAAAACACTGTTCTATTACAATTTGAAAAGGCTGTGTGTGTGTGTGTGTGTGTGTGTGTGTGTGTGTGAGTGAGAGAGAGAGAGAGAGAGAGAGAGAGAGAGAGAGAGAGAGAGGAGTACAAACTCCAGTCTAAAAATAACTTGCTAAATAGAAATTTTTCTGAAGTTACAGTTATTAAATTTTTATACTTTTAGAGTCTATTAAAGTTTACTAAAAATACTATTTTAGTGAACAAATAAACCAATATTTAATAATAACTATTATTTATTCAGTATGTAGTATTTGTAAGCATTGTTCTCTACAAAAATATTTAAACCTCAACAGATGTCTGTAAAGTAGATAATTTTATAATCCCTGTTTTACAGATAAGGAAACTGAGGCAAGAGTTATATTAAAAAAATAATTTGCTCTAGATCACATAACTATTAAGTGGCAAAGTTGAGAACTGAACCTACATAGTCTTGTTTAAGAGCTTATACTCTTGGTTGGGTGGACGTGAACAAAGGGGTGTAGGAGAAAATGGGGACATTTGTAATAGTCAACAATAAAAATAAAGTTAAAAAAAGAGTGTATACTCTTAATCACAAAATAATACTATCAATACCATCCCAAAACATTCTGAAATCATTCAGGAAGGAGGCATAATTACTGGTAATAAAAATTCTA